GTGTGTGTGTGTGTGTGTGTGTGTGTGTGTGTGTGTGTGTGTGAACCAGACCCAGAACACATGGTTTTCATCCACAGCACTTAGAAACCTCCCTGAAGTGTCAGAGGTTCTGTTGGGCCCAGAACGGTCCAACAGAACCTCGTCATGTGCACGACTCTCGGACACGTCGTGTTTGATGAAGATCAAGTTTCTCTGGTTTTAATTCAAAATGCATTTTTAAAATAACTAAAATAACACGTTTGATTGTTTAGCTGAGCAGCAAGTTTCAGGTTCAAGTTCGTCGTGTTTGAAATGATGCCGTTAGAAAAGACATCAAATAAAAAAATAAACATTTACAACCGGATATTATTTAGGAAGAAATGAAAAAATTAGAAACGTTCTGGAGAAAAGAGTCTTTAAACAAATTACAACAAAGCATAAAGTCTATTTTATTAAAGTGGAGCAAATAATTTTACAACTTAAATCAAACTCAGGTTTAAATTTGTCATTTGAGTTTTACTGATTGGTTAAAATATAAAATGTAAAATGTGTAAACTTGTTGCACATTAAAATACTTTTTCATTTTAATTGTGAAATGCAGCAAAACAATATTTCCAGATTATTTCATGTTCTTTGGGCCAAAAGAAATAATTTCAATAATTTATGATGTGTAAAGTTTGTTTTTGGAAACACTTCTAATAAAAGAATTATGACAGTTTTATTTATTTATTTTCATTTTTAATGTGCCTTTGGGCTGAAAATGTTAAAAATAAATAAATAATTAGAAATAGAAGAGAAGACATTGATTCACAGTGTTTTTCAAAGAGTGATTATGAATTATTAGGTTCAAACTGCAGCGGGCTCTCACCCCCCCCCCCCCCCCAGCCTTTGGTCACATGTTTGCGTCACTTTCAGATGTTTCATCCATAAAACAAGGTTTCCAAGACAAAGAACAAAGCTGAATATTATCTGTAGAATAGTGTGCACGTATGGGTAAACGTTTGAAACGATAAGACTCTGGCTGAGTGAAAGATGGAGGTCTTTTCTTCAAGACGCCCTCGTGAGTCCAGTGTGCGGCCTGCAGGCCATGAACCCAGAGAAGCTCCAAACATCAGGAGAAGATGCAGCTTCAGAAGAAGTGTCTGAGCTAAACAAGGTCAAGAGATGTGTTGGTGTGACTCACGGCACTTTGACCCCACAAACATCTGCTTTAAACTGCTCAAGTTGTTTGAGGCTCCTGACCAGCTGCGTCTTCTCACGTCTTCATGGACCGGACCTTTGTTCTTGCTCCATGAACGTGAGGAAAACTAGACGTCAACTTGTCAAAGAAATCAGCTTCTGGTTTATTCCTAAAGCTGAAGCAGCTCCTGGCAGACAAGTCCTCGGACTTCCCTCCGTCGCTGTTTTAGTTCCTCGCAGCCAAACATTAAAATCTTTATCAAACGTCTGTAAACGAGTTGAAAATGTGCCGTCGGGAACGTGGTTCTGTTTTGACGCTGATGAAACCAACGTCCAAATGAGACGTTACAGAGGAGTCTTGAATCAGAACGGGCACTTGAATGTTTCGAGGATTGGACCTGGTCCCAGTTGGTGTGAGGATTGGACCTGGTCCCAGTTGGTG